GCTCTGTGTACTGGGTGCCGCTCTGACTGCCACCCCCCCCCCCCCCCCGACCCAGAAATGGATTGAGGGGAAGAAAATGGATGGATGGATGGTTTTATATAGCACTTTTTTGGACCCTCAAAGACGCTTTACAAGTTGGGTAAATGCGCTGTACAAATATCATTGGATTGGATTATTAACCATTTTCTCAGTTTCAAAACAAGACTCATCTCATGCCTTATTTGAAAAAAGAATAAAACATTGATATGGTGTCTGTAACTAATATCCCAGCAGAGAATCCAACCATATCACCCATTCGCTGAAACTTAACACCAGATGAATATTAACTCTCTCTTCACAATAGAATTAATGCAATCATTCATTTATTATTCATGGTTCTACTTACATTATTCTTACCACCGGGGACATCATCTTGTTCACCGCCACTAACAAAGCATGACCTTGTGTGGAAGTACAGGAAAATTCCCATTTAGATTTAACACCAATTATGGTTTGAAATAGCGCCCATATATTGGAAAGGACTAACTGTCACCGGGCACAAAGTCGTCTGGATTTATGAAGACAAGAGAAGCTGCGGCTCGTCTTTGGACCGGAGATCATTTCTAATGTTTGCAAATGTAAATCTAGACGCGGAAGATTATTACAATTGGAACAGAGTCTTATGTTCCGTTGTGGAAAGAGTTTGCATTCATTTAGAAGATAAGTAGAAAGTGATCTTGTTACCTTTAGCTTCACCAGTAATTCTAAAAAATTTTCACGTATAGTAGGATAAGGAAACTTTGTATTGTATTTCCATTGTCTGGGTACATTGGTGTATGAATATATATGTGTTACTTGTGATGTTATTTGATAATTTACCACTAACATAGCCTGGCCCTAGCTATCCATAAAGTCTGTCAATGATCATTTCCTACATGTATGTCTGGGTCTGATCCTAGTGGCAGTTTTCTCGGTTGAATCCCCTCCGACCAATTAGGGAGCAGTGTTGTAGGGACGTAAAGAGTTTGCTCAGAATATTCATTCATTCATTTTCTTCCCCTTTATTAATCAATTTCTGGGTCGGGGGGTGTGGCAAGGAGAGCTGCCACCCAGTGCTCATAGCACCAGTCCCTCGCTGATCCTCTGCAGGTGGTGAGTCCACAGGAAGATGGCTGCTACATTAGTGGTGCCACAGCGGGGGCTTCAGGCAACGTGGGGTTAAGTGTCTTGCCCAAGGACACAACGACAGTAGACATCAGTGGAAGCAGTTGGAGTAGGTCCCGGGATGGGCTCGAACCCACTACCTTCCAGCCCAAAGGCCAATGCTCTACCAACTGAGCTACTGTCACCCCTGTCACCAACAACTACAATATTCTGGTTGTCTACAAACTCATGAGATGAGTTTGTAGACATCTCATGAAATGTGCTAGTGAATCATGGACACGTTTATTTGAAAAGCTGTACACAACCTTTTGAAAGTTGATGTTTTGAAAAGGGGTTGGATTCCAAACCCCTCTCATTCATTAAAACAAAACAAAAATAAACTATAAATTGTCACTCTGCGTTGGTTTTTCACCTGTACATCACTAGTGTAGCATCTTTCATTGGCTTGAGTGCTTTGAGTACCTCCTCTGCACATGTGATGTCAGTCTCAGTCAGTGTGAATACTTCCTTTTCATTCTTTCGCACTTCATTGGAATAGAGTGCTGCACAGACAGCAGGTTGCTGCTCTAAAAACCTCTCAGTCATGTCATAGGAGCTATTCCATCGAGTGACAACATCTGTAATCAATCTATGCTTTGGTAGCTCCAGTTGGACTTGTTTGAGCTGTAGTTGGGTGGCTTGCTGTTGTACTGCGTCTGAAGAATCCAGTAACACGTCTAATTCTCCCCAGCAGCCTTGCCACTGCTGGTAGTTTGAGTGCTTTCTGTGACGCGAGGTTAAGGCTGTGCGCAAAACACTGAATGTGGGTCATCTCTGCCAGTCGAGCCACCACAGTCATGTTCGGAGCATTATCAGTGACTATCACGGGTTTTTTCTTACTCAGGCCCCATTCGTCTACAGCTTCACGCAATAAAGCCGCAATATTCTCTCCAGTGTGGCTGTCATACATTGGTCGCGTTTGCAAGATGTGAGAATGCATGTTCCAGTCTCCGTCGATGTAGTGCGCTGTTATTGTTACGTAGGATTCTGTGGACCTGGATGTCCAGGCATCACATGTTAATGCAACTCGCTCGGCAAAACGAAGGTCATTTAGCACAGTGTCTTGCACTTCTTTGTATAAACGGGGCAAAGCAACATCGGTGAAGTGTTGGCGGGATGGTATGCTGTAACGGGGCTCCAGAGTGTTCATCATATAACGAAAGCCTTCGCATTCCACGGAGCTCAGAGGACGCATGTCTTTGCACATGTAGTAAGCCACGGAGTGTGTTATTTTAGTGGCACGCTGTGAGCTTGAAGGCAGCTTGACTAAATTAGCTTGTTCAAGAGTTAGTTGTGATGAGGTAGCTTGTTTTCCGTTTACCTCCACTTGTTCGTGATGTCTTGCAAAATGTGCACGCAGGTTCGTGGTGTTCCCGCTGTGCTTGACTTTCGCATGGCACCTTTTGCATATGGCATAACTTTTATCCAAATCTGAGCGTCCGTCGTTGATGTAAAAACCAAAGTGAGTCCAAATTTCAGCTTTGTAAATGTGCCTCGGAGCATCTCGCAGTTCCCTCTCCGCCATGTTGAGTTTTACTGTGTGCTCTAAACACCGCGAGACTATAGCGGACTGTATTGATTCCAAGACAACTCTCGCGAGATACTATTGTTTCTTTGGCGGGCTGGGCCGTGCGCTGCCAACTAGTGAGCGGGAGTGCAAGCTCAGGACAAAAGTACGCCTTTGCATTGACAATTTCGGCCAAAAATGTATGTATAAATATCGATATTTTGCATTTTGGATCGATACGAGAATTGCGCGACGTAATATCGCGATATATCGCCGTATCGATATTTTTCAACACCCCTAAATGGTAGTAAAATATATTTATTTTTGATTGGGTATGAATACTTTTTCAAAGCACTGTATTCTATCCTTCTTGATTTGCCTCTGTCCTTTTCAGTCGCATTCCCTGCTTTTGTTTTGCTCTTCTGTTCTGTCTGAGGTGAGGTTGGTCTGCCTGGTGTCCTGAGGCATTAGAAGACTGAAGTCGAATTATTTTCTCTCAATATTTGATTTGGAGTGTCAACCAGAGAATGCAATATACATAGTCTATGTTTATACATTCTTACGTGGCGTTATTGCTTCTTGCTCTGGCTTTTCTCTAATTTGTCCCCCTGTAATTTTAACTTTTATAAACAAGCTCTTTCCTTTCTTCCAGCCTGACATTGGTTTGTCCCCACATAACCATCTCCTTATTATCCTTATTATTGGACCTTTCTTTGCATTGGACAGTGTGTTGATTTGTTGTTGTTAATTGTATTAGTTATTGCATATTTTGAAAGATGGGCATGCTTATCAATATACAGTGTCTTCAAAAAGAAAGAAGTAAACATACCTAAAACGCTAAGAAGCAGGGTATGTGAGCATGGAAAATATAGCACAATAAACGGATTGGAATAGAAAGACGGACTTTGCAAAACACCACAAAGTCTGAGAAAGAATCCTTCAGCCAGTGGAGCTGCAATTGACAAGATGACATAATTCAATAAACTCTTTTACAATCATTACAGGAGATAAGCAGGCCCTGCATGTCTCACAAATGATGCATATAAGTGTCTGTCAGGAGTGGTTAATCTTAGCACTGCATAATTTGGGCGCTGGTTCAACTGATGGCCCATTGTGAAGGATGGGGTCAGCGCAGGCCCTGTCTGCTCTCCAAAATGGGATTGCTGCAGTTAATTGAGGTTAATTTGTATTTGTGAATGGCTGTGAGCAGGTGCACTACTGTCTCTCTCTGTCTCTTCCATTGAATGTGCATCAAAATTCAGATGTTTATCCATAATAAAACTATTATTGAAACTAGATACTATTTCAGAATATATAGATACTGAAAAAATAATCCCATAAATCACTAAATGAGAGATTCTGTGAGCAGTCTTTGAATAATTTATAACTATAACCAAGTAATCCAATGCTTCATTGTCCACAAATAATGTTTTTTTTTTTTATTGTTCCATTGAAATACGTATGGAGTCTTGTTATTGAAATTTAGTTTGTAGTTTTAGTGTTGTAACAACACTATATTAGATTCTTTAACACTTTTGATTCATAAATGTCATAAGGTTATCAGAGTAAGTTTTATTTTTAACACTTTTTTGGAATAAATGAAACAAGCCTAAACGCCATAGTTTATGCATGTTGCCTAGAACAATTGAAGAACATAAATCTCACTGGCTCTGTGTAGCCTCATCCATTACACACATAAAGAGGCTCTGGAACTTTGTTCCCAGCAGTGGTTTGCACCTGTTTATTCTAGAAAAATCTGAAATTGCACTCGGACGAGGACTTAGATCACCTTGATTGTAGGATTAGGAGCTCATTCACACTTATTACTCTCAAGGACGAGGTTCACGTCAGAGGAAAATGCAGAAGTCCTCATGTTGCACTGAAGTGTTTTTCTGGGCTCACTGTGACTGTGAATTGGTGTATGGTTCTTTCATGTAGCTCTTAGTTCATTTGAATGTGAAAAAAGCACTATATATTACCATTTACCATTTAACCATAGCAACCCCCCAGGGTAGAAAGACGAAGGCCATCACTCCACGAACCACCACCAATCATTCACGATACTTGATACTTTCCACTTTGGAACCACAGCTATTGTGGGGCACTGTGAAACCTATTTATCCAATGGTCTCCCCATATAAGTAATAACCAGGCTGAGACTTACTTAGCTTGAGATCTTAAGTGGCTGAGATCTTAAGTGATTTGACTCCAGTAATAAAAAACGTCTTGGTAGTACTTGGTTAGTATTTTGCTCAAAAGCTGATACTTGCTGTTTTTTCCATGCTCTGACTAATGACACTTCTGCGTCCAGGTACGAGATCCGGGACACCCACATGGTGGAGGAGAATGTGCTGCAGGTTCTGAAGGAGCGGGCTGACTTTGACAACTACAAACCTCGGCCATTCAACATGCGCGAGTTCTACGACCGCACGGGCCACGACATCAAGGACATGCTGCTGTCCTGTTTCTTCAGAGGAGCCGACTGCAACGCTGAGGACTTCAAAGTGGTGAGTTGTTCAAACTTTAATACAGTCTATTGGTTTGTGGCTGTTGAAGGCCACAATGTTTTGTCCTTTTTAGAATGAATAGCATTTCAAATTATTTCCACATCATTTGTGGAAATTAGTTTCTATCACGTCAGAGAAGCCAATGTGTGTTTTAAAAGTGTATTACTCAGATGCATGAGGCATTGAAAAAAATGAGAACATATAATTGGTACCAGTTTTTGGCGCACCAAGCCTTACCCAGTTATGAATCATGTTGCCATATGCTGATTTAAAAAACACATATTTGAAACAAGCGATCATCAAGTCTTGGCCTCAGATGTGTTCTCTTTTGCATCCGCTGCTTTACTGCTTATCTTATATCAGACATGGGTTGTTTTGGGAGATTGCCCAGCAGCCTGCTTGTCTTCGGTTGCCACAGATAGTTATTACTCATAGCCTGTGTGACCTCCTCGCTTGTGCACAGCTTCATCAGATTGAGGCACTGATAGAGAAAGTGCCCTTATGACCTGATTGTGTAGGCATCGGTGCAGAAAGAGCAGAAATTAAGGCTGGAGAACCAGTAAAATGCTGTTTATTATTGGTCCAACTGAGAATGTTCATCTTTTCACTGAGTGTTATTGGTGCAATGTATATAGAATATCTAATGCCTACTTTCAATTTCATTACAAGTGTGTGTGTGAAACATAGTCTGTAGAATTGAATCAAGGATGGTATGAGACGCGATAGATGCTGCCTTGTGAAGCATTCTGGGAAAAGCTATAACAAGCAGATAACAGACCCCAAGGTGAAAATTGTTATTCTAATAATGGGATTGGGTTTGCCTGCTTATATGACTTGTATAGCTTTACAAAACTCATTTAGTACATGAGCATTTGTCCGCAGGCCTTCTTCATTTCTGTGTCTCATACAAAGCCAGTTTAACACAAAATACAATGTGCAGGTTTCAGAAATACGAGTTATTGCCCATAGCAAATGACATTTTTCATACAGTAACATACTCAACGTACTCAAATAGTGTGTTATTTGAATGTAACACATACATTATTTCAATCAATCAATCTATCCCATTTTTTAAAATTATCCCTTTACAACACTCAAACGCAATTTAAAAAAGTCCAAAATCAGTAACCACTCGCAAATCACGCTTGCATAAGACATTCATTATATTTTCTTCCTTTTGCCTACCCCCTGTACAAAATCACATCGCACACTGTTACCGTTTTAATTCACAAGGCCATTTTAAATTGAAAACCCATAGCCCTGGTTGCATGCCCTGTCCTCTCTATAGTCTTTCCTTGTCTCCCCTGCTGCCCATTAGTGTCTATGGTAGCCGCAGTGTCTATAACATACTCATTTTAAACCCTTGTAATGTGCTGAGGTGCCCACATTTGCTGTTGTTAGTCACGCTGGTGCCAGATGGTGGGTTTGGGGGGGGCACGGCAGAGTCTGGGTACACCATAGTGGACAGGGATGAAACAGCTCAGCAGAGAGCGCTAATGGTGTGGAAAGAGTCCTAGGTGGTTTTAGCGCACTGGCATCGCTCCTCGGAGTAACATGGTTCGGGGAGGGACTTATTTTTTGTCTTACATTGTAGTGGCAGTTCTAGCAAGACTTTTTTAGTGTTTTGGAAATAAGTCATTTTGAGTCATTTCTATAAACAGCTTTTAACAACCTTTTTAACAAACTCAAAGCTGCATTATCATTAATTAGTGGATATTTAAGTAATTCTATGTTGTCCTGCTTTAAGATTTTACATTAGTTCTGTGGGATTATATTTCGGTTGGCACTAGATCATATATGGAATCGGGACGCGGAAGTAACAATCCTACTTTCGAATTAGTTTTAGACTAATTAGTCCTTAAGTGGTGACTGGTTAAAGCTGCACTAACTGACTTTATTTTTGTATTCATTACGAAAGTGCTATCCATGTCCATGTAGTGCATTGGCATATATGTCCTTTTGAAGAAAAAGTAGCGCAGATTTGTGCTGGCGTGACATTATATTTTAGATCGAGTTTTGATGAAACAAGGAAGAGATGTGTTTCGGATCGCAGATTGTGACCAATCACAGCGGACCACTAGCCCCCCACTTTCGTGAGAAATCTACAGGTCCGTTAGCACAGACGGCTGAGTTAGCACAACAAGCGGCGGAGCTAACCTGAAGCGTCCTCGTTTTCGTCACCGGTTACTGCTTACACAGCGAGACAGCCATCCAAAAGAAAGTCCCGTTCCTCCGCGCTTCCCGTCTTGTTCCCTTGCTAATTGTTTGTCCTTATGTGTTTTACCTGTGTCTGTCTGTGTCTATATGTACCTGTGCTCCTCTCCTCTTGTTGCTTGTTCATTGTAATGCCAAAGTCTGTCCTGTATTGTCTCTGTTCCTGTGTTTAGTTTGACCTTTTGGTGTTTTTTTTACCCTGGACTTTTATTTTTTTATTAAACAATTATTTTTAGCATGTTTCCTGCATTTTGAGTCCTCTCCACCCCGTGACATAGCGCTATGAAGACTTCCCAACCCCGCCCATTGCTCTGTACCTAGTTTCTATCAATATATATTTTTTATATTTATATAGAGGGATCCTGCGGTCACGTGACTAGCAGCCACGGCAGCCATACTGGAGGACAACCTCGGCGAGTAACAGCCCTGCTAGCTATCTATAACTGGACGTTCAAAACTAGAACTCTCTCGAACTACATGAAAACTGAACAGAGAATTTGAAACTTCAGCAGTTAGTGACCCAAATATATACTCAACCTAAATTCATGAATCAGATTCTCTGGAAATGCATCCTAAAATGTATTATTAATGTTTTATCGTTACATCCAGGTTTACCGCGGTCGCATATTGTCGCATTAAAACAGTGTTTTTTCATGAAAACGTAAACAGAAAAATCTGAAAACCTCTGTGCACGTGTATTAAGAATGTATATGTATAATGTATTCTCCGATTAACATTAATGTGTTTATTGTTACACCATTGATCTATGTGTGGCTACACTGCAGTGGAAATAATGAGATTACATTCAAATCAATGGAGCTTTCTGCGTCTACTGTGAGGAGCCGTATATTTTATTAATAAATACTAGTACGGGGCACCCTGGAGCACGGCTCAGTCGTTCACATGTCTGCTGGCCTTCGGTAAGTCAGATACCCTGTGAACCGGGTGAGGTCCTGTGTGAGACCAAATATATAACAGCTATGCTACAAGCTAAGCTACAGTCTATGGAGCAACCCCACGTTGCAGTCAGACAGATATGTTTTATCCTTAAACTTCTGTTTGTTTCGGAATAACACTAAATCCGCCAACAAATTGATTTTACTTAGCAGAAATGAAATGATCCGAGCATGGCGACATCACTAGTGTAGCATCTTTCATTGGCTTGAGTGCTTTGAGTACCTCCTCTGCACATGTGATGTCAGTCTCAGTCAGTGTGAATACTTCCTTTTCATTCTTTCGCACTTCATTGGAATAGAGTGCTGCACAGACAGCAGGTTGCTGCTCTAAAAACCTCTCAGTCATGTCATAGGAGCTATTCCATCGAGTGACAACATCTGTAATCAATCTATGCTTTGGTAGCTCCAGTTGGACTTGTTTGAGCTGTAGTTGGTGGCTTGCTGTTGTACTGCGTCTGAAGAATCCAGTAACACGTCTAATTCTCCCCAGCAGCCTTGCCACTGCTGGTAGTTTGAGTGCTTTCTGTGACGCGAGGTTAAGGCTGTGCGCAAAACACTGAATGTGGGTCATCTCTGCCAGTCGAGCCACCACAGTCATGTTCGGAGCATTATCAGTGACTATCACGGGTTTTTTTCTTACTCAGGCCCCATTCGTCTACAGCTTCACGCAATAAAGCCGCAATATTCTCTCCAGTGTGGCTGTCATACATTGGTCGCGTTTGCAAGATGTGAGAATGCATGTTCCAGTCTCCGTCGATGTAGTGCGCTGTTATTGTTACGTAGGATTCTGTGGACCTGGATGTCCAGGCATCACATGTTAATGCAACTCGCTCGGCAAAACGAAGGTCATTTAGCACAGTGTCTTGCACTTCTTTGTATAAACGGGGCAAAGCAACATCGGTGAAGTGTTGGCGGGATGGTATGCTGTAACGGGGCTCCAGAGTGTTCATCATATAACGAAAGCCTTCGCATTCCACGGAGCTCAGAGGACGCATGTCTTTGCACATGTAGTAAGCCACGGAGTGTGTTATTTTAGTGGCACGCTGTGAGCTTGAAGGCAGCTTGACTAAATTAGCTTGTTCAAGAGTTAGTTGTGATGAGGTAGCTTGTTTTCCGTTTACCTCCACTTGTTCGTGATGTCTTGCAAAATGTGCACGCAGGTTCGTGGTGTTCCCGCTGTGCTTGACTTTCGCATGGCACCTTTTGCATATGGCATAACTTTTATCCAAATCTGAGCGTCCGTCGTTGATGTAAAAACCAAAGTGAGTCCAAATTTCAGCTTTGTAAATGTGCCTCGGAGCATCTCGCAGTTCCCTCTCCGCCATGTTGAGTTTTACTGTGTGCTCTAAACACCGCGAGACTATAGCGGACTGTATTGATTCCAAGACAACTCTCGCGAGATACTATTGTTTCTTTGGCGGGCTGGGCCGTGCGCTGCCAACTAGTGAGCGGGAGTGCAAGCTCAGGACAAAAGTACGCCTTTGCATTGACAATTTCGGCCAAAAATGTATGTATAAATATCGATATTTTGCATTTTGGATCGATACGAGAATTGCGCGACGTAATATCGCGATATATCGCCGTATCGATATTTTTCAACACCCCTAAATGGTAGTAAAATATATTTATTTTTGATTGGGTATGAATACTTTTTCAAAGCACTGTATTCTATCCTTCTTGATTTGCCTCTGTCCTTTTCAGTCGCATTCCCTGCTTTTGTTTTGCTCTTCTGTTCTGTCTGAGGTGAGGTTGGTCTGCCTGGTGTCCTGAGGCATTAGAAGACTGAAGTCGAATTATTTTCTCTCAATATTTGATTTGGAGTGTCAACCAGAGAATGCAATATACATAGTCTATGTTTATACATTCTTACGTGGCGTTATTGCTTCTTGCTCTGGCTTTTCTCTAATTTGTCCCCCTGTAATTTTAACTTTTATAAACAAGCTCTTTCCTTTCTTCCAGCCTGACATTGGTTTGTCCCCACATAACCATCTCCTTATTATCCTTATTATTGGACCTTTCTTTGCATTGGACAGTGTGTTGATTTGTTGTTGTTAATTGTATTAGTTATTGCATATTTTGAAAGATGGGCATGCTTATCAATATACAGTGTCTTCAAAAAGAAAGAAGTAAACATACCTAAAACGCTAAGAAGCAGGGTATGTGAGCATGGAAAATATAGCACAATAAACGGATTGGAATAGAAAGACGGACTTTGCAAAACACCACAAAGTCTGAGAAAGAATCCTTCAGCCAGTGGAGCTGCAATTGACAAGATGACATAATTCAATAAACTCTTTTACAATCATTACAGGAGATAAGCAGGCCCTGCATGTCTCACAAATGATGCATATAAGTGTCTGTCAGGAGTGGTTAATCTTAGCACTGCATAATTTGGGCGCTGGTTCAACTGATGGCCCATTGTGAAGGATGGGGTCAGCGCAGGCCCTGTCTGCTCTCCAAAATGGGATTGCTGCAGTTAATTGAGGTTAATTTGTATTTGTGAATGGCTGTGAGCAGGTGCACTACTGTCTCTCTCTGTCTCTTCCATTGAATGTGAATGAGGAAATTAGTACACAAGTTTTTTCCCATGCTTACAGCACTGCAAAAAAAATAGATTAGGCTGAAGGAATAAAGAATTAATCTAATTGCTGCCGTGCTGTTTTTAGAATTACGGTTTATTTTATTGATCCATATATGGTAATTTATTGTATTTATATTATTTACTCTGCATTTGACCCATCCTGCAATGCAATTAGGACAAACTGCCAGGACCAGTCCCGGCTTGGTCAAGGCTTACCAGAGCTGGTTGTCTGGGAACATTTTAAGACATACTGTTCTTTGTTGTTTGTCAAAATGATCAAAAATCAGATGTTTATCCATAATAAAACTATTATTGAAACTAGATACTATTTCAGAATATATAGATACTGAAAAAATAATCCCATAAATCACTAAATGAGAGATTCTGTGAGCAGTCTTTGAATAATTTATAACTATAACCAAGTAATCCAATGCTTCATTGTCCACAAATAATGTTTTTTTTTTTTATTGTTCCATTGAAATACGTATGGAGTCTTGTTATTGAAATTTAGTTTGTAGTTTTAGTGTTGTAACAACACTATATTATATTCTTTAACACTTTTGATTCATAAATGTCATAAGGTTATCAGAGTAAGTTTTATTTTTAACACTTTTTTGGAATAAATGAAACAAGCCTAAACGCCATAGTTTATGCATGTTGCCTAGAACAATTGAAGAACATAAATCTCACTGGCTCTGTGTAGCCTCATCCATTACACACATAAAGAGGCTCTGGAACTTTGTTCCCAGCAGTGGTTTGCACCTGTTTATTCTAGAAAAATCTGAAATTGCACTCGGACGAGGACTTAGATCACCTTGATTGTAGGATTAGGAGCTCATTCACACTTATTACTCTCAAGGACGAGGTTCACGTCAGAGGAAAATGCAGAAGTCCTCATGTTGCACTGAAGTGTTTTTCTGGGCTCACTGTGACTGTGAATTGGTGTATGGTTCTTTCATGTAGCTCTTAGTTCATTTGAATGTGAAAAAAGCACTATATATTACCATTTACCATTTAACCATAGCAACCCCCAGGGTAGAAAGACGAAGGCCATCACTCCACGAACCACCACCAATCATTCACGATACTTGATACTTTCCACTTTGGAACCACAGCTATTGTGGGGCACTGTGAAACCTATTTATCCAATGGTCTCCCATATAAGTAATAACCAGGCTGAGACTTACTTAGCTTGAGATCTTAAGTGGCTGAGATCTTAAGTGATTTGACTCCAGTAATAAAAAACGTCTTGGTAGTACTTGGTTAGTATTTCTGCTCAAAAGCTGATACTTGCTGTTTTTTCCATGCTCTGACTAATGACACTTCTGCGTCCAGGTACGAGATCCGGGACACCCACATGGTGGAGGAGAATGTGCTGCAGGTTCTGAAGGAGCGGGCTGACTTTGACAACTACAAACCTCGGCCATTCAACATGCGCGAGTTCTACGACCGCACGGGCCACGACATCAAGGACATGCTGCTGTCCTGTTTCTTCAGAGGAGCCGACTGCAACGCTGAGGACTTCAAAGTGGTGAGTTGTTCAAACTTTAATACAGTCTATTGGTTTGTGGCTGTTGAAGGCCACAATGTTTTGTCCTTTTTAGAATGAATAGCATTTCAAATTATTTCCACATCATTTGTGGAAATTAGTTTCTATCACGTCAGAGAAGCCAATGTGTGTTTTAAAAGTGTATTACTCAGATGCATGAGGCATTGAAAAAATGAGAACATATAATTGGTACCAGTTTTTGGCACCAAGCCTTACCCAGTTATGAATCATGTTGCCATATGCTGATTTAAAAAACACATATTTGAAACAAGCGATCATCAAGTCTTGGCTCAGATGTGTTCTCTTTTGCATCCGCTGCTTTACTGCTTATCTTATATCAGACATGGGTTGTTTTGGGAGATTGCCCAGCCGCCTGCTTGTCTTCGGTTGCACAGATAGTTATTACTCATAGCCTGTGTGACCTCCTCGCTTGTGCACAGCTTCATCAGATTGAGGCACTGATAGAGAAAGTGCCCTTATGACCTGATTGTGTAGGCATCGTGCAGAAAGAGCAGAAATTAAGGCTGGAGAACCAGTAAAATGCTGTTTATTATTGGTCCAACTGAGAATGTTCATCTTTTCACTGAGTGTTATTGGTGCAATGTATATAGAATATCTAATGCCTACTTTCAATTTCATTACAAGTGTGTGTGTGAAACATAGTCTGTAGAATTGAATCAAGGATGGTATGAGACGGATAGATGCTGCCTTGTGAAGCATTCTGGGAAAAGCTATAACAAGCAGATAACAGACCCCAAGGTGAAAATTGTTATTCTAATAATGGGATTGGGTTTGCCTGCTATATGACTTGTATAGCTTTACAAAACTCATTAGTACATGAGCATTTGTCCGCAGGCCTTCATTTCTGTGTCTCATACAAAGCCAGTTTAACAAAATACAATGTGCAGGTTTCAGAAATACGAGTTATTGCCCATAGCAAATGACATTTTTCATACAGTAACATACTCAACGTACTCAAATAGTGTGTTATTTGAATGTAACACATACATTATTTCAATCAATCAATCTATCCATTTTTTAAAATTATCCCTTTACAACACTCAAACGCAATTTAAAAAGTCCAAAATCAGTAACCACTCGCAAATCACGCTTGCATAAGACATTCATTATATTTTCTTCCTTTTGCCTACCCCCTGTACAAAATCACATCGCACACTGTTACCGTTTTAATTCACAAGGCCATTTTAAATTGAAAACCCATAGCCCTGGTTGCATGCCCTGTCCTCTCTATAGTCTTTCCTTGTCTCCCCTGCTGCCCATTAGTGTCTATGGTGCCGCAGTGTGCTATAACATACTCATTTTAACCCTTGTAATGTGCTGAGGTGCCCACATTTGCTGTTGTTAGTCACGCTGGTGCCAGATGGTGGGTTTGGGGGGGGCACGGCAGAGTCTGGGACACCATAGTGGACAGGGATGAAACAGCTCAGCAGAGAGCGCTAATGGTGTGGAAAGAGTCCTAGGTGGTTTTAGCGCACTGGCATCGCTCCTCGGAGTAACATGGTTCGGGGAGGGACTTATTTTTTGTCTTACATTGTAGTGGCAGTTCTAGCAAGACTTTTTTAGTGTTTTGGAAATAAGTCATTTTGAGTCATTTCTATAACAGCTTTTAACAACCTTTTTAACAAACTCAAAGCTGCATTATCATTAATTAGTGGATATTTAAGTAATTCTATGTTGTCCTGCTTTAAGATTTTACATTAGTTCTGTGGATTATATTTCGGTTGGCACTAGATCATATATGGAATCGGGACGCGGAAGTAACAATCCTACTTTCGAATTAGTTTTAGACTAATTAGTCCTTAAGTGGTGACTGGTTAAAGCTGCACTAACTGACTTTATTTTTGTATTCATTACGAAAGTGCTATCCATGTCCATGTAGTGCATTGGCATATATGTCCTTTTGAAGAAAAAGTAGCGCAGATTTGTGCTGGCGTGACATTATATTTTAGATCGAGTTTTGATGAAACAAGGAAGAGATGTGTTTCGGATCGCAGATTGTGACCAATCACAGCGGACCACTAGCCCCCACTTTCGTGAGAAATCTACAGGTCCGTTAGCACAGACGGCTGAGTTAGCACAACAAGCGGCGGAGCTAACCTGAAGCGTCCTCGTTTTCGTCACCGGTTACTGCTTACACAGCGAGACAGCCATCCAAAAGAAAGTCCCGTTCCTCCGCGCTTCCCGTCTTGTTCCCTTGCTAATTGTTTGTCCTTATGTGTTTTACCTGTGTCTGTCTGTGTCTATATGTACCTGTGCTCCTCTCCTCTTGTTGCTTGTTCATTGTAATGCCAAAGTCTGTCCTGTATTGTCTCTGTTCCTGTGTTTAGTTTGACTTTTGGTGTTTTTTTTACCCTGGACTTTTATTTTTTTATTAAACAATTATTTTTAGCATGTTTCCTGCATTTTGAGTCCTCCACCCCGTGACATAGCGCTATGAAGACTTCCCAACCCCGCCCATTGCTCTGTACCTAGTTTCTATCAATATATTTTTTTATATTTATATAGAGGGATCCTGCGGTCACGTGACTAGCAGCCACGGCAGCCATACTGGAGGACAACCTCGGCGAGTAACAGCCCTGCTAGCTATCTATAACTGGACGTTCAAAACTAGAACTCTCTCGAACTACATGAAAACTGAACAGAGAATTTGAAACTTCAGCAGTTAGTGACCCAAATATATACTCAACCTAAATTCATGAATCAGATTCTCTGGAAATGCATCCTAAAATGTATTATTAATGTTTATCGTTACATCCAGGTTTACCGCGGTCGCATATTGTCGCATTAAAACAGTGTTTTTTCATGAAAACGTAAACAGAAAAATCTGAAAACCTCTGTGCACGTGTATTAAGAATGTATATGTATAATGTATTCTCCGATTAACATTTAATGTGTTTATTGTTACACCATTGATCTATGTGTGGCTACACTGCAGTGGAAATAATGAGATTACATTCAAATCAATGGAGCTTTCTGCGTCTACTGTGAGGAGCCGTATATTTTATTAATAAATACTAGTACGGGGCACCCTGGAGCACGGCTCAGTCGTTCACATGTCTGCTGGCCTTCGGTAAGTCAGATACCCTGTGAACCGGGTGAGGTCCTGTGTGAGACCAAATATATAACAGCTATGCTACAAGCTAAGCTACAGTCTATGGAGCAACCCCACGTTGCAGTCAGACAGATATGTTTTATCCTTAAACTTCTGTTTGTTTCGGAATAACACTAAATCCGCCAACAAATTGATTTTACTTAGCAGAAATGAAATGATCCGAGCATATTCGGGCGCTCTGGGGGCTATTAGTTTTTTGTTGTTGCGTATGGTTGTGCCATTTCTCTCTCGTTTCTTTGAGATGTCTTCTGTTTTTGAGCCGTGTGAAGTAAGGACGGCTGGCAGTCGGTAACACAACTTATTTTCCCTGTCTCTCCTTTTGCTGCAGCCAAAAACGGCAAAAATGTTGAACATGTTTATGCGGTCCCGGGTGCACGCCACTATCATACAGCGTTTGCTTGTCCTCCAGTATGGCGGATGCCCCGCGAGTTCGAGGCATCGTGACGTCACGTGAGATATCTATATAGCTGAATATAGCTATACGTATAGGTGCAAACATTTTATGGTATATAACTACTAAAACATGGGACCAAGTATTGTATTCTTAAATATAACTAAAATTACTTCTGTTTAGCTTTGCATTCCACTGAAGGAGTGTATCTTCACTGTGTTAATGTACTTTGATCATTTATGACTGTAATGCCCTGTATTTGATCGAGTCTATGAAGGTTATTTTGTGTTTTTATTATCAACACTTTTTTTTGCTTTTGAATTCTATAAACTGTAACAAAAAAAAGTATTCAGTGTAAATAAATGTTTTAAAATTCAGTGTCCAAAAATTCAATGTTTTAAAATTCAGTGTCAAAATATTCAATGTTTTAAAATTCAGTGTCCAAAAATTCAATGTTGAAAAAAATTCAGTGTCCAAAAATTTTTTCGCTGCTTGAAATGTCATGCTTTATTTCCGGGTAAATCAAGAACAAAGCAATCGATCAGCCAATCCTCCATAGATGTAGCCGGGGCCAGAACACGACTGTCTTGTTCATCTGAACATGGCGTCCACAGCAAACCAGTAAGTGTGTTTTCTCATCATTAGTTGTTATGTAACACGCAAACCACTACTGTTTGTACTTTCTGAACATGTTTTTACCTTAGCTATCATTAGCTCGCTCCGCGTAGGTGGATTCTATGTTTTGGCAATTCCCCAAAGCTAATCTTCGCTAATGCTAAGCTAAAATGAACCACAGGAAAGCCAAGTACACGGGAGTTTGCGGTTCTTGTGTGACATATGTACCATGTTCCCAATTTCAATGTGTATATTATTCTAGCAGTGCAGCAAGGACAAAACCTGCTGACTGTTTAGAGACAGAGCATGCTAAGGGGTTGTAGTTAATTATGTTGTTCATTTTTATGTATCTAGACCAGGGGTCGGGAACCCAAAATGTTCAAAGAGCCATAATTGACAAAAAAACTAAAAACAACATCTGTCTGGAGCCGCAAAAAAATAACAGCCTTGTATAAGGCTTTTATGAAGTTAACACAGGCTGCAAGATGTATTAGCTATATTAGCCTAATATCTAAATGACAAAGTAAAGGCTACAAATACATAATAATCATTCATTATTTTCACTGCAGCGTGTCGCACCACGCGTGTCGTGAATGACGCAACACGGGACAACTCTGCTTTAGTTTAACTTCCATTTGTTTGCCTTCATGCAATTGTAGAAATACAGTAAATCAATCTGCTTTGGGCTCAGAGGTCACATACCTGCATCACTGTCTGCTCATATCCATCACGTCACAGGCTGAAGTTTGCTGGAGCTAAATTAAAATCCTTAATGGCCTTTTCTTTCACCGTCTTTGAGAAGGTTTTGAAGTCTGAAAATAGGTGCTCTGAATTTTTGATGAATGAATCCTTCACGTAATCACCGTTTACGTCGTTTTGCGCGTCATTGTTCCTCGTGTTGCAACAAAACTTTTCATTACAAACATGAAGCAGTCCTTCCTCATTGACTGAAAGAAAATGTTCATTCTCATTCTTATGGTGCGTTCAGACCAAACGCGATTTCTGCGGCCAAATCGCGTCTATCGCGCGGCTTGAGCCGCTTGTGACAAATTGTGGCAGCCGCTGTCACAGAGAAACTTGGCCGCGCGGCCAGGACACTAGAGGGCAGCCGCTGTCACAGAGCGTTGAGAGCGTCTAGGGGCGGGGCTTGTCTCTTTTGCCTGTAGCTTCCCAAAATGGATGTCAGCGAAGGAGTTGCTTTATCTGATAAATAAAGCCAGACACGTCGTCAAAGGGCGAATCGACGACGTGTCTGGATTCATCAGATAGTCCGTAGACGGTTGGAGTTTGGTGAGTTTCACCATTTGCTCCGGGAGCTGCGCTCGGATGAGGGTCGCTTTCAGCGGTACTTTCGTCTCTCCCTGGCCCAGTTTGACGACCTACTGACCCGCATTGGCGCTAGGATCTCCTACCAGGACACCAACTCTATTCCAGCTGAAGAGCGCCTGTCCATCTGTCTGTGGTTAGTGTTTTTTACCCCATTCGGAATTCCAAAATACTTACAAAGTGTGTCATTTTTCAATCACAATCCACAATGTAATTGCTCAGAAAACAGTATTATGCAACAATTTGGTGTCTATGATTACTGTCTATGATGTTTACTGTCTACTAGTTTAACGTATTTTATGCTACACAAGTTTTGTCACGTGATTTTTATGAATGTAATTGTGATAAATATGTTCATATCATTTTGTAATTGCAGGTTTCTTGCCACTGGGGACTCCTACAGGACCATTGCGGGGAGCTTCAGAGCGGGCATATCCACCGTCTCCATGCTCATCCCAGATGTGGTGGCAGCCATCTGGGACTGCCTCGTGGAGGAGTTCATGGCTGTGCCTGGAGCAGAGGAGTGGAGGTCCGATGGAACTTCCCTCTGTGCTGTGGGGCCATTGATGGGAAGCATGTGGCTGTGAAGGCACCCCCCAACTCTGGGTCCATGTTTTTTAATTATAAGGGGCACCATTCCCTTGTGCTCCTGGCTGTAGTGGATGCCCAGTACAGGTTCAGGGTGATTGATGTGGGAGGGTACGGCAGATCCAGCGATGGAGGCATCGTGTCCAACTCTGCCTTTGGTGAGGCTCTGCGCGAGGGCACACTCGACCTGCCTCCTGACCAGTGCATACCTGGAGCTGACCACAGAGGACCCCAGCCCCATGTGTTCGTGGCAGATGAGGCCTTTTCACTGCGCTGCAATTTAATGCGCCCTGCCCATCTCCAGCCATGAGGATGGCTGGAGATGGGCAGGTTCCTGCACCGAGGGGAGCTGCTGCCGGTGAAGAACCACTTCCAGGCGTGCAGCGGATGGCCGCCTGGAAGCCAGCAGTGGACATAAGGAAAGTGTTCATGGCCCACTTCAGTGAGGAGGGAGCACTGCCGTGGCAGCCCACAGAGTAGTCATGTCCACCACAAGACTGACCCACATCTGGCCATAGTCCAAACCCATATTGATTTGCACTATTCTATTCACCTGTATACCTTCTGTTTCTAGGTAATGACTGCCAGACTCCACTGCGACTCCACTCCAACTTCAGGTTAATCATATGCACATTCAAGCTTTTCCATAATTACAAGGTTGTTAAAACAGTAAAAGGTGAAATGAATAAAAAATACTGTCAACTACTGTATCGCTCTTTAAGTGTTTGTTATTCCATCTTCTATAAAACCCAGTCAGCTCTTATAAAAGTAAATGTACAAATATAGAATAGCATTTTCTGTCAATATTATATGAAAGGTAGTAATGGTTGGCTTGAAGTAGAACACATGAGGTTTGAAAAATATTTTCTTTATAAAAAAAGGAACAAACAATGAAAAATAAATGAAATGTACATATAAACAAATGAAAAGGAGCTTGCTTGGAGGAGGTGCGGTGGAAGAGGAAAGGGACACATGTCTGTTTCCTCCCCTGCAAAAGGTGTCACCTTAGGTAAAAAAAACTGTACTGGCCAATGGTTCCAAATTAAGCAGAACGGTGCTGCTTTCATATAAAAGTTGGTACATTTTGAATTTCACAAATTCTTTTGACTCTGGTGCCACCCTTTGCAGGAGAGGAAAGAGAGAGAGCAGGAACTGATGTTCTTCTGAGTAGTCGGGCGGTCCGGCTGCTTTGGTCCGTAGAGTCTCCAGCAGCTCCCGCTCCCACTCTGAAGGCCCACCAAGGAAGAGGGCTCGGAAGAGGCCCACGTCCGTAGAGCCGCCAACAAAGAACACAGGGCAATCACAGTGTTAAAAAGTGGAACATGTATTTCAAAAAAGCAAAATGAAGAGAGCAAATAATATCTGTATTAAAGCCAGAGTGTGTAGACATAGTTAAACACATGTAAAACACTTTTAAGTTGTGTGTGTGTTACAATTAACTTGAACATTGCAGTTATCAATGAAATTACTCACACAAGCACAAATTTCGACAGTTACAAACTAATATCTCTGAAGTGTATTTCGCAATGAAATTTGAAATTGGCTGTAAAAAAAGTAATACTCTATTGTCTGCATTAAACAGGATAGCTGCCATCTTGTGGCAACCATTGCATGTATTTGTTCAGTACTTTTATAGCATAAGGTATTTCAGTAGTATGTTTTTATCAAAGAAAGAGGGAAGATGTGTTGTATCAGACCAAAGCTTCTTTCCACCTGTAGTGCCTTGACATCTTGTCGTTTCTCTGTAAATTTGTCGTCTACACTGATGTAACAGCCCTTGGGTAATTTTGGCATATTATGCAGTAACATTTTGTTTATATGAACAGTCCTGTAATAAGAATAAAAATAAAACAATGATTAAAAAAAGCCACACCTGTAGGTGCAGAAGCAGGGGAAGGTCCAGCCCTCACAGAAGAAGAACCGGCTGAGGAAGCAGCAGCAGCAGCAGGCAGCTCAGGCCAAGATGTCTCACCTTGTGTGGTGGTGGCAGTATCTGCGCCAGAAGAAAACAAGAAATACAATTATTTCATATCATGTGTACATTGCGCTTATGACATTTATATGTACATAATAATGTACATTATTATGTACATTTAAATGATTTGTTCATATAAAAGGGAAAAGTGAAATTTAACACAACACATGATCAAGATCTATCCTGGTTTGAAAATAGCCAATGCCTATTTTCACCTGGCCATGATGTTAAGAAAGCATTAAAAGAAATGCATACACAGAAAGCAATATAAATGTAAAAGTCAGCAAAATGTGGGTAATAGAAAGGAAAGAAATGTATTTTTTCCAACTGTTCGAGGTCTCCGTTTGCTGCATGACACCGACCTTCAGCACCTCATATGTGTCCCTCAGATTCTTCCACCGCTTTTTGCAAACTTCCACTGAATAAACACATCAACTCGTAAGCAGGAAAGTAGTAGTTTTTTTCGCGGGGAAATATTTACAACATTGAAAAGTTAAAATAACTTACCCGAGACACCAACCACCTCGCTAACCCTCCTCCAAGCAAGCTCCTTTTTATTTCGGTCCCGGTAGCTGTGGTCCGCAGTGTTATATAGCTCAGAATGAGCACCGACCTGAGCAATTGACGTGTCCTCCATAGCTGTCATCTACCAGTGTTTTTCCGGTAGTGAAATGCGTCACTACGTCACTGGAGGAGAAAGCTCCTGATTGGTCGGCACACGCGAATTCTCCCAAAAAGTTCAACATTGTTCAACTCTAGCGGCGGCCGCGTTGGAGGCACGAATCGCGCGAAACGCGCGCAAAACGCTTGACATCTCAAAACACGCCGCGCGAATCGCGCGAAACGCTCGAATTCGCGCCGCTCTGGCCGCGCGAATCGCGCCGCGTGATCTCTCGCCGCTCCTTGGCGCGCGTCCCCCATGTTGTGTCAATGTAGACCCGCCGCTTTGGCCGCAGAAATCGCGTTTGGTCTGAACGCACCATTAGTCCAGTCTTGTTATCGACTCTTTCTTGTTTTAGCTTTGGGATCCATGTGCACTTACAGTCTATGATGCACACACGCCGGTTTGTTTACAGCAGCGGCCGCATGGGGCGGGGCCGCGTGACCGCGCGTCATAGGATATGACGCACTACGTTGACAGAAATGTTGAAATTAGATATTACTTATACATATTTTTACAGCATTTAAAAACGTAAAGATTGTTTTTCCTTCTACAGAAACCACATTCAAACTAGAAATAAAATATAGCCCTCACACTCCATTTTCAGACATTTTTTAAAAGGCTCCAGGAGCCACTCCAGGAGCACTCAAGAGCCGCATGCGGCTCCGGAGCCGCGGGTTGCCGACCCCTGATCTAGACCAACGAGAATTATTCTATCTTTACTCTTAAATTTTGACATCTTAGTGAAACCAAGATGGAATGAAGGATCGGTTCTTTAGGGAGAAAACAAACCCATGGATTCAATATTAATGCTACAGAGAGGAATCAGACTGATAGATATGGTTTTAATTGAGTATATTTGTAAATCCCACTCTACCAGCCTCCTGTTAAAGACTGGGAATGTATTTACATTTACTGTTGATATGTTAAGTTCATGTGTGTGTTTGTAAAGGCATCGTACTTGTGCTCCTCCTCAGAGCGTCTGTTTCTACTCTACTGTGTGTTTATATTAATTAATTTGACTGGGACAGTACATGTATATGAACATATGTCGACATGTCTGATTGTAACAAAAGGCTCATTTTAATCCCAGAAGAACCGGGTCTGTTTAAATTAATGATTTTTTTTGTGTGAATTTCTTTTCCAGAGGCAGCTGTCTTCCAGAGGCAGCTGTCTTCATCCATTTCCATCACCTCCAGCTTCTGTGGATTACGATATAAACTACAACAACCAATATGTTCATTTATTTGATTAATTACAAGTCATGGATAGTTAGAACACATCTCTCATTTTCTGAAGACATGCAGCAGCAGCAGTAACAGCAGCAGGTGCCTGGACGTCTGCCTCCGACTGTCTTTTCTACGGTGGACTCATCACAACCTGGAATAAAATAAAATAATTATGATTTAGTTCTTTGTGTGCAATGAAAAGTGATGTATGCGTTTTTTTATCCAACCACACAATCAGTGAGAAACATGTTTCATAGCTTGTATTTAAGTAATACTTCTAATCTTAAATACATTTAAGCCATTAACTCTGACATGATCAGGTCTGTTGGATTTCAAGAGGCAAGGAGCTTGTGCTCAAAAGGTACTCATGACCTTAAATCTGGTCTGTAAGTTCAAGTCCACGCGTCTTCTGTGTCCAGCTTCATGTTCACAGATGTCCCCCTGCACATAATCACGTTTGTACTTGATACAAATTACTTTACAACAAAGTGATGCACAAACGAGGGCCATAGCAAATCCATCAATCCTAAACACATGCATTATTTACATGAAATATCACATTTTTAAGACTAATGATTACTCTTAAAACAATTGTTATAACAGAGAAAGTATGATACAAAAGCCGCCTTTTTGGGTTTTCATAATTACTTCCACAGTTAAGACTGTTAGCATAAGGGAGCTCTCAAAATGACTCCCAGGGCATGACGCTCCATTCTGGGCATCAGCGCAGCTCTACACCCGTGGTCAAGTCAAACAATGAACAGAAATATTTTAATATAAAAAAAAAAATAGTATTAATTTAACATACAATAATTATATAAAACATTTTTTGTTTTGTTTGATGACCTCTTGCTGCAATGCCCTCAGTGGGGTCCGCGGCCCACCGCCCCACTTTGGGAAACACTGTTGTAGATAGTTTGTCAAAATCGTGCAGTCTTGTATATTTTTCATACCAGACACAGAAAACGGCTTTTGAAGTGGGATAGCAAGAACTTCCTCATATCATACATCGAGCAGTCAGGCAGCGTTGCATCATTCCGTCAGTGCATTGATAGAGATGAGAAATAAGGCACACGGATGGGGGGCATTTTGTCTTCTGCCACTTTTGGAGACTCCCTCGGGTATGAAACCATCTAATCTCCCACTGAATGAATGGGCCTTGGACTGCGTGTAGTGTCCGGCCGCGTCTGACATTGTGTTGTGTATTATTTAATCAAGAGGCACACAACATGCTCTCTCTTTTCAGAACGCTTTATTTTTTTTCTCAAGTTTCTTACAATTCCTCAAGGACAAGTCACTGCTGTTCACTTAGTGTGCCTTTTTACCCTTGTCGGTGACCCGATAAGTGAACTACGGTGTCAATCTGTACTCGTCACATGTCTGCTTAACTTGAGTGGGCTGTTAAGAGAATGCAATGACAACAAAACAAAACATTAAAGGTCTTATATTTTTCTTTTCTTCAGTTTTCACAGTCCATCCTAAACACATGTGTTACGTGTGAAAGTGATGCCGCGTAATAAAGTGAAGCAGGTCACGTCTGTGCCTCTGCAGAATGAAAGAGAAAGATCGCTCTCTAACTAAAGCGTGTGGGAATCAATGAAAAAACTACTCTGGGCATTTGTATGAGGCCAAACACCACTGTAATGCTTTTTAAACCAGAGAAAGTCAAACATTTTAATATGAGACCCTGAATAACATCATTGGGGTTGTTCT